TCCCATTTACAATTGAACCAAGAACCAGAAAATACCTAGGAATAAACCTAACCAAAGATGTAAAAGATCTGTATGCTGAAAACTATAGAAAACTTACAAAAGAAATTGAAGAAGACACAAAGATATGGAAGAAAAGCTCATGGATTGGAAGAACAAATATTGTTAAGATGTCAATACTACCCAAAGCAATGTACACATTCAATGCAATCCCAATCAAAATTGCACCAGAATTCTTCTCAAAGCTAGGACAAACAATCCTAAAATTTATATGGAACCACAAAAGACCCTGAATAGCCAAAGTAATATTGAATAAGAAAACCAAAGCAGGAGACATCAGCGTGGTGGGAGAACTGGACGGCAACAGGCAGAAGAATGAAACTGGACTACTTTCTTACACCATACACAAAAATAAACTCAAAATGGATAAAAGACCTAAATGTGAGACAGGAAACCATCAAAACCCTAGAGAGAAAATAGGCAACAACCTATTTGATCTCGGCCACAGCAACTTTTTACTCGACATGTCTGAAGGCAAGGGAAATAAAAGCAAAAATGAACTATTGGGACCTCATCAAGATAAAAAGCTTCTGCACTGTAAAGGAAATAATAAAACTAAAAGGCAACCGACAGAATGGGAGAAGATATTTGCAAGGACATATCGGATAAAGGGTTAGTATGCAAAATCTATAAAGAACTTACCAAATGCAACAACATGAAAAACAAATAATCCAGTGAAGAAATGGGCAAAAGAAATGAATAGACACTTTCCCAAAGAAGACATCCAGATGGCCAACAGACACATGAAAAGATACTCAACATCACTCATAATCAGGGAAATACAAATCAAAACCACATTGAGATACCACCTCACACCATCAGCGTAGCTAAAATGAACAACTCAGGAAAAAATAGATGTTGGCAAGGCTGTGGAGAAACAGGAACCCTCTTGCACTGTTGGTGGGAATGGAAACTGGTGCAGCCATTCTGGAAAACAGTGTGGAGGTTCCTCAAAAAATGAAAAATAAAATTACGACACAGAAACAACACTACTAGGAATTTATCCAAAGGATACGTAAGTGCTGATTCACAGGGACACTTGTACCCCAATGTTTATAGCAGCACTTTAAACAATAGCCAAATCATGGAAAAAGTCCAAATGTCTATCAACTGATGAATGGATAAAGAAGATGTGGTTTATATATACAATGGAATACTACTTGGCAATGTGAAAGAATGAAATCCTGCCATTTGCAACAATGTGGACGGAACTGGAGGGTATTATGCTAAGTGAAATAAGTCAGTCGGAGAAAGATAGATATATGTTTTCACTCAAATGTGGAACTTGAGAAACTTAACAGAAGACCATGGGGGAAGGGAAGGAGAAAAAAAAAGTTTCAAACAGAGAGGGAGGCAAACCCATAAGAGACTCTTAAATACAAAGAACAAACTGAGGGTTGATAAGGGCATGGGAGAGAGGGGAAAATGGGTGATGGGCATTGAGGAGGGCACTTGTTAGGATGAGTACTGGGTGTTGTATGGAAGTGATGAATCATGGGAATCTACCTCTGAAACCAAGAGCACAGTGTATACACTATACGTTAGCTAACTTGACAATAAATTATATTAAAAAATTAACACAAACAACAACAATAAAAGAATCTCTTATGGTTTGTTTCCCTCTTTTCTTTTTTCATTTCCCTCCTCCTGTATATTCATCTGTTTTTTTTTCTTAAATTCCACAATGAATGAAATCATATGGTATTTGTCTAGAAAGTTAAGTTTAAAAAGATAGATGCAAGCTGGTAAATGTTAGCACCTCTACAGGTAGAGCAAGCAGACAGTTGTCGGATCTGAAGCACAGAGCACCAGCAGCGAAGCACTCTTCAAAGAGTCAAACCTCTAGAGCTAAGTTTCGTTTACAGGAAATACACAGAAAAGAGGAATAATTTCAATGACACCACAAGGAAGCAGGCAAACCCAGAATGTGGCATATTCTGCGGAACAACTGATTTTACAACCAGTGAGTGGCAGGGGGATGGAGGGAAACTGTCCCAGATTAAGATACTTAATTCATATGACAACCAAATGCGACATAGGGACCTTGTTTGGGTCTTGATGTAAATAAATGTATTGTAAAAGGGTATTTTTGAGATAACCAGGGGAATTTGATTATGAACTGGAGACTTAGGTGCTAAGACATCATTATTAATTTGGTGTCATGTGTGATAATGGTATTATAGTAATGCAGCAAAAAGTCCACTTTATATACACATTAAAATCTGTAAGGGTGAAGTGATATGAGATCTGGGATTTGTTTTAAAATAGAAGTTGGTAATTTTAAATCTGTGTATTGGGAACTCATAGTTTCCTGTCTGCTTTTGTGTATGTAAAAAAAATGTATATAAAACAGTAAATAGAAAATGCAAGTTGTAACAGGGATATACAATTTGTCTAAGAAAGGAAGGAATAACAATACATATTTTATTTTCTTGTGTCTGCATTGGGGGTATATACACAAGAGACTTAGGAGAATGGAAACCTACAGGGCGGTGGGGGAAATTGGTAGACTTGGAGGATGGGAACAAGGCTTCTTCATAAAGCTTTGATACTGCTTCAAATTTTAGCCATTTGGATGAATTATCTAAATAGTTTGATTTTAAGAAACAAGAAAGAAAAGTTAAATAAACATGAAAATGCTCAGAAACATTTCCCTGTACACAGGAAAAAAAAAAAGAAGAAGGGGATTGGAGTAGATTTCTAGGTTCGCATTGCAGAATGTGATTGTGGTTAAGCACATCAGCAATAGGTAGGTAGAATGGGTTCCAATATCAGCTCTTCCCGCTAGCTTTGTGAGCTCAAGGTAAAATTGCTCAAACTTTGTGAGGCTCAATTTCCTTACCTCTATGTCGAGGGTAATCTACTGCGTAAGATTGTTCTAAAGATTGAGTGTGGCAATGGTTGTAAAGTGCTCAGTGTAGTACCTGACCCACAGAAGGCACCCAAATACTGGTTATTATTGTAAGTAGTAACTTCAGCTCTCTAGTGGTTTAATCTTTGGTAGTTGTTTAGTGATTTATTGTATGCCCACATTCCCATCCTGTGCTACCAATGCTGTTTATAACATCACCCTCAAGCGCACATTCACTGTCTAGACTTCGATGAATTAATAAGTTATTAATATTTTATGAAACTGGTTCCAGTAGTAACTCTAGATAAGGACATAAAACAGAGTAATAACAATAAAAAACAAAACATGGAAAAAAAGGAAAAACAGAATACAAAATCTGAGGGCTGACACTTTTAAGAGTGTTGATTGGGGCCATGCAGTAAACATATCATCTGACCCCATGTTTAATCCATTCTACCTTACCCTTCAATATGGACATTTGCTGGTTTTTATTAGTTATGTAGGTAGACATATTAAGGACAGATATGAAGTTCATAAAATGGTTTATAGTGGAAAAAATCTGGAGCTTGGGGGACTCAGTTCTCATTTGAAATTACTAATCACATGCCTTTGGGCAAATCAACCTTTTTAGGTCTCAGTTTCCCTATCCATAAAATGAAGAAATTTACTGTGATCTCTTGAGTAACTGCTACCTCTGATCCTATGGAAAGTACACGCATTGAACAAGCTGGATATTTGTCCTGAATGCATTTAGTGGCATAAAGATGAGTGACAAGGAAGTTCAGCAAGAAAAGACAGGAAGTCCACAGGGTTTTCAGAAACTATTCAGTCTGTGACCTTACTCTGATAAAGAATCATTGGCTTTGGCTCAGTCGGTTGAGTGTCTGACTTCGGCTCAGGTCATGATCTCACAGCTTGTGCATTCAGGCCCTGTGTTGGACTCTGTGCTGACGGCTCGAAGCCTGGAGGCTGCTTCGGATTCTGTGTCTCCCTCTCTCTCTGCTCTTCCCCTGCTCATACTCTGTCTTTCTCAAGAATAAATAAACATTAAAAATTTTTTTTTAAAGAATCATTGGCTTTTAAGGTTCCTAGAGAAATGTCACTATCCCAGAGCTGAGACTGAGGGCTGTCACTATCCCAGGGGTCTGAGATGTTACCTCAGTGATGGACAGTGTGGCTGAAACTCAACCCTTTCTGAGAATTTACGTCTAGAGCCCCAGGGCTGGGAGGGAGGAGACATCCCATCTGATTCTATTACATAAGATGTAATAGAATATTGAGGTCCCCTTGATTCCCACTTCAGTGGGGGAGAAACACTGCAGAAAGGAAATATCTTTCCTAAGTGGAAGGGTTTGAAAGTTCAGGTCAAAGTCAGAATATTACAGCAGGGAGCCATGCATATGTCACCTAGCACAATTTCCTCATTTTATACATTTTATAAATGAGGAAACTGAGATCCAACAAGGTTATATAGCACAGCCCAGTTTGTGTTTGGACAAGGCTAAGAATTAAGTTCCAGGGGTGGAAAGGGCCCATAAATTTGAGAATAAGAGACATGCCATTCATTGTGGTATTCTCCAGCTCCTAGTCCATTAATATTGATCACATGACCAACCAACTGACTGATCTGACTGAATGAATGCATGGATGATATGTTCCTGCCTTGTGTTCCCTGGTAACCAGCTAGACCCACACGCCATCCATTCCAAACAGAGGATTATTTCATTGGAGATATGAGAGGGCTCTCTCCACTTGCTAAGACAGTTTTCTTGACTGGCTGAGAGACATTTTTCTTCCTTGAGTATTGCTTCCTCTTCGTTGATACTAACAGGATAAATATCAGAGCCCTTACAGGATGTGTGTGGTGTAGCACGACAGACAACTGGGGTTTCCTTTGATGTAACTGTGGACTTGACAGCATTAACAGAGGAAAGATCGGTAGTCAGATGCCCTGGTGTGTTGGTCCAGCAGTCGGGGAGAGCAGCCGTTGCTCCTGTGATTGTGGAGGAGATACAATTGCAAGAGGTACCCAGTTCCACTAGAGAATCAAAACTAAATAGAGCTATTACTGGACGTTTCTTCTTCAGAATCCATGGTTTCACAACTTTCCTTTGACTGTGTCCTGCTGCTGCTGCCACTACTCACAAGTAAGTCTGGGCACGGGCTGTCACACCTGGATAGCGTGAGATAAAGATACAAAGACGGTCATTGTAATGTTTGTAGTAGCAAGTTTGGGAGCAGCCTAAATAAATGCCCACTAGTGGGGGAGTAGGTAAATCAGTTTGTGATATCTCCATGATGCAAACAGTGAAGCTGACCAAACATAGTGATATGAAATGTCTCTAAGTTGAAAAGTTAATTGAATAAAGCAAAGAACAGAATAACATGTATATTAGACTTCCATTTGTGGATGTGTGTTGTAGGGAATAACATGTATATTAGACTTCCATGTGGGAATACATGAATGGTCCTTAATGTATAGACTCTGGGAAGGAGAACCAGAAAATGGGAAGGAGCAGGGAGAGGGAGTATACTTTTCATATATCTTTTAAAAAATTTTTTAATGTTTATTTATTTGAGAGAGAGAGCGAGAGAGAGCGAGAGCATGAGTGGGGAAGGGGCAGAGAGAGAGGAGGACACAGAATCTGAAGCAGTCTCAAGGCTCTGAGCTGTCAGCACAGAGCCTGATTGCAGGGCTTGAATTCACGGACTGTGTGATCAAGACCTGAGCCAAAGTCTGACGCTTAACTGACGGAGCCACCCAGGAGCCCTCATATACCTTTTTATACTGTTTAAATGTTTCACTATATATATTTATTAATATATATATATTTAAAGACAATTCATTTCAAACCTCAAAATAGCCTGTGGGTGGTTTCAAATATGCAAGCTTCTTATTTAGCCAGTAGTTTTTATTCATTATGTGCTGAGTGCTTAAAAAAAGAGAGAGCTTTATGTTAACTGCCTTTCATCGATGAGCAGATGGGTGAGCTGTTTTACTAGCTAACAATGACTCATTTTCTGACTATCTATCTGCCCAGCCCTCCGATGTTCACAGGGCTAGACCACAATTGTCTCTTAGGGCATTGGTTCTCAAAGTGAATTTCCAACCAGCTCTGTCAACAACTGGAAACCTGCTAGAAATTCAAATTTTTATACCCCACCCCAGACCTATCGAAGTAGGAACTCTAGCGGTTGAGCCCAGCCATCTGTGTTTTAACAAGGCTTTCTGGTGATTCTGATGCTCCTCAAGTCCGACAATCATTGTCATAATGGATCATCTTCCAAACAGGACAGCAGGACTGGTTTCCTTTTTATTCTGTATGGCATTACTTGCAGTTTTCTTGAAATGGACCAGCCTCACTCATTGCCTGGATCTTGCTCTCTTTACTTCTTTCTTCAGGGTCTTTGGAAGGGGAATACGTAGCTGAAGTGGGTCAGAATGCTGTTCTGCCCTGCACCTACTCTCCAGCCACTCCTGAGAATCTTGTGCCTGTCTGCTGGGGCAAGGGATCCTGTCCTATGTTTGAATGTCATAGTATGGTGCTCAGCACAGATGGAAGGAACTTGAAATATCAGACATCCAACAGATACCAGCTAAAGAGGAATTTCCACAAAGGAGATGTGTCCTTGACTATAGAGAATGTGACTCTAGCTGACAGTGGGACCTATTGCTGCCGGATTCAATTCCCAGGCCTAATGAATGATAAAAAATCAAACCTGGAGTTGGTCATCAAACCAGGTGAGTGGACCTTTGCATGTCTTCTTTATGAATAAAACTCACCTGCAGGTAATTAAATATACTGATTGGTCTCACTTCTGATCTCCCCAATTATAGCCCTGGGAGTGAGTCCCTAAGACCTAAAGTTTAACAGGCTCCACCGACAATGCCCAGCCACATTTAATTCCCTTCCTCTATTTTCAAACTCAGGGACAGGATCTGTAGAATGGGAGGAAAGGCCTAGATCAGTGGTTAAGAACCTGATTGCTCATTAGATCACCTGGAAAGCTTTTTAACACTTACATCTTCTTGGTCCCCACCCACAAACCAGAGAAATCGGCATTTCCGGAGGTAGAGCCCGAGTTCTGGGATTTTACGAAGTCTACCTTAGATGATTCTCCTCCCTGTGCAGCCAGGATTGAGAACCACTGGACTGTGTATGTGTGGGGTGGGTAGTGGCGGGGTACATGTGTTTGTACATTTTAAGATTTATACAGCATATAGTCTGTGGCTGATGAAGCTCAGTTTAAATCCAACTTTGCCTCTTACTAGCTGTGTAATCTTGGGCAAGTTATTTAAGCTCTGTGGCCTCCTGTTCTATAAAACATGGCAATTCCTACTACACAGGCCATTGGAAGGTTTTTATGAAGTGTTTTATAAAAAAACATTTAGCATGGCCATTTGTGTAGCTATTAGTTCTATTATTAACAATTAGACTGCGATGACGATGGCTGTAACAGACCTCTGCCCAACATGTGAAGAGTCTCATACACTCTCAGTGAACACGTCCTGGTAGGTTTGGCAGTTGGGCATGTACCTTTCTTCATTTGTTGTGTTTCATATTTTTTTCTGCTGCCCCTTTGATTCCCCGAAACAAGCTCTCTGCTCTCAGAGAAGTCTCATCCTTATATTGGTTTCTGACATTAGCCAAGGTCACCCCTGCTCGGCCTACATGCAGAGACTTTGGTACAGCCTTTCCAAGGATGCTCACCACCAAGGGATATGGCTCAGGTAATTATACAAGTGGTGTAGGAGGAAGCCTTCTGGCATTTTCTGAGTTCGGAGGATTTTGAATATGGGAAAGAGATGAGAAATGGGTTTGAGTGGAGGTGTGAATGTTCCTGTGCACCTGAGATATTGTGTGTGGTGAGAGGGGTGGCAGGGACAAACCTGTGTTGGGAAAAAGGAGCGCTGAGCTAGGATTTGGAATTAGTCACAAGTAGCCCTGTGACCTGGGCTGAAGCCTTTCACTTCCCTGGACCTCGCCTTCCTGTTCTGTTCAAGGAGAGGGTTCAGAATCTTTGGATTTTGTAACCTAGTAAAATTCCCACTCCCTCCCCCCAAAAAAAGAATTTTGGTAATATATGTATTTTGCCAAATAAGGAAAAAATTGCGTTATTATCCATTATTGCAATAATAAAAGACATGTTTTTAAATTAAATACATTTATTCTAATGAAAAACTCATTACATTGCCATTATTTTCCAATTGACTCCCAGAATGGGGATGTTTTGTTATGAATTCATCCCAGTCCATGTTTGGGGTTGGATTAGGTGATTTCAAGGATCTCTTCTTACTGGAATGAAGCCCATCATCTTCCCTCAATTCCAACCTCAGAAGGAGCAGCTATATTCTTTAAGTAATTCAACAAGGACTTTTCCATGCTGCTCTGGAAGAGAAGATAGGATCAAAAGAGCAGACCTCAGGTCACATTGAGCAGGGAGATTAATCTTAAATGTCTCCTGTCAAAGTCCTGGTCTCTCTTATACTCTCTGGAGCTTAGTCTTCCATTCAGTAAGATGAGGGTAATAACAGGTAAGTCCCATATCTTAATCTCATAAATCTCCTAAATCCCACCTTATGAAATTTAACTAAGAAAGGGTGTCTCAAGTGCTTAGTCCAGTATTTGATCATACTATGTACTCAGTACACGTTGGTTATTGTCCTTAATGTTACCAATAAGATCTGGAGGCAGAATGCGATTGTGGTTAAGCACATCAGCAATAGGTAGGTAGAATGGGTTCCAATATCAGCTCTTCCCGCTAGCTTTGTGAGCTCAAGGTAAAATTGCTCAACCTTTGTGAGGCTCAATTTCCTTACCTCTATGTCGAGGGTAATCTACTGCGTAAGATTGTTCTAAAGATTGAGTGTGGCAATGGTTGTAAAGTGCTCAGTGTAGTACCTGACCCACAGAAGGCACCCAAATACTGGTTATTATTGTAAGTAGTAACTTCAGCTCTCTAGTGGTTTAATCTTTGGTAGTTGTTTAGTGATTTATTGTATGCCCACATTCCCATCCTGTGCTACCAATGCTGTTTATAACATCACCACCAAGCGCACATTCACTGTATACCCACATACCTTCCTCACAAGGCAGTATATTTCCTCAGAGTTGTCTATATCCTAAACAAGTCTTTTTCTCTTTAGTTTTTACTTGTTAGTTCCTTCCCTTTAGGGAAACAAAGATGGGGGCATTTCTTGCATTGGGAATATAGGCACAGTACCTACAATCTCTTTAGTGTGGAATGTGGGTACATTTAATATGTTTGCTATAAAAGTGGAATGGAACCTTAACAAGTAAGAATTCAAGAATCATGGAACCTATCTTGAACACAAAACAATGTAATGTCTCTTCCACCTGAAGGATGCAGGACAGGGTCACGGTGAATCCTCAGCTCTGGAGATAGACTTGGCCTACATCTCAGGTTTGTCCATGAATAGTTGTGTGATCTTAGGCAAAGTACCCCTCTGAGAATCAGGTTTTTCATCTGAAGAATGGAAAAATAATAGTACCTACTTATTGTGGTGAAGATTAAAAGCTGTTGGGCAAATAAAGTACTAAGCACCATGTCTGGCATATAATATGTACTAGATGGTAACTACAAATTCATAAACTTTTAAGACTCTCACGTGCCACCCTGTTGCTACCTCCACTCCAGCCAAGTCTTGGGTTCTCTGGGAAAATCAAAGCAACTTTTTCCAACTGTCCCACTCACTTGGTTGATGGTTATCTATGTGAAAATAATCTGTGATAATCTATAAAATGGAGTGCTGTTGGGTCATTTTCACTGTAAATCGAAATTAAAAAAAAAGAGAAGTCAGTCTTATCATTTAGGCCAAGAAAAATAATTACAGGGAAGCAGAAACTGGATTTACATTAGAAAATCTTGTGTGTGGTTAAGATTCATGTTTACTTAGTAGTTCCACCAATGTGGTTTTTATGCTTTAAATTCCTTTTTGGGTAATAAGAGCAAAGGTAAGTGGAAGACAATCTCTTTTACTTCCTCTTTTTTAAAAATAATTTTAGGCTGAGAATAGTAAAATGTTAATATTAAAATCATGGTGTGTTGGGATGCCTGGGTGGCTCAGTTGGTTAACCGTCTGACTTCGGCTCAGGCTCGAGTCTTGCATCAGGCTCTGTGCTGACAGCTCAGAGCTTGGAGCCTGCTTTGGATTCTGTGTCTCCCTGTCTCTCTCTGCCCCTCCCCTGTTCATGTCCTGTCTCTCTTTGTCTCTCAAAAAATAAAACAAAATGTTAAAAAAAGAAATAAAAAAAAAAATCATTGTTAAAGCAGGAGGCCTGCCTTAAAGGATTTAGATTTTTAGGCTTCCAGAAAGTGGCCATGACATTTAAGAAGTTTCAGAGCCTCTGACTCAGCCAGATAAATGAGTAGGCATCCTTAATTTTCCCAAAGCTAACCATCTATTGATTTTTAGAAAGCAGCATCTGTGAGGTCAGGGCTTGTGCCCATGCTGTTCGCGGCTCTATACCCTGGGCCTGGCACAGAGAAGGGGTGTAGTACATGTTCATCAAATGGATAAGCAGGTAAAGAAATGAATGAGTAAAAAGGAAAGAAGGTGAGATGGCACCTGGGCAATGTGACCACTTGGTAGTGACAATGCAAAAGTAAAGGTTGTTGAAAGGGACATCGTTCAGAGTGTCTTGTTTAAAGCCATGCAGACCTAAATCGAAAGGCCATTTCTGTTATTCACTAATCTCTGTGACCCTGGGTAAGTCCCCTAACTTCCTAATTCTCAGCTTCTTCATCTGCGAAATGGGGCTAATAGTCTCTACTTTAGGATAGTTGTTTTGAATGCTAAATGAGATACTTCGTTCAAAGAATTTAGCACCATGTCAGCTCATGGTAAATTATAGCTATAGTTATTATTACTCTCATTTTTAGGCAATGAAATACCCCGTCTCCCTCTTAATGAGTAAATGTTAAACTTTTTTAAGAAAATTAACTTTCGTTATCTTTCAAAGTCTCATTACAATATAATGCCTGGTTGAGTGTTATCAATGTTGTTGGCAATTTGCTGCCCTCTTTGGGGTGCTGTGGACACAACAAACCACATATTCGACAGAGGTTTTCCTGGCAGAGGTCTCCAGTTCATAGAACATAAGTAGTCAGGTTCATTATCTGGATAAAAAAATATGGTCATCCGTGTCAAATCGTTGATTTGTAAGTGTTTAGAAAATTTTGTTGGTCTCACAATTACTTATTGTGAAGAGTATAGAGTAGGATTAATTTCAAATATGATTCTAGGCATCTTTAAGAGTTTTTAAAACTCAGATAAAAGAAAACGTTCTTGACTATTCTATCAGCTGTTTTTTTCTCTTTATGGCAGAGACACGGACACTGGAGGGCCTCCATGATAAAAATCAAACTGTAAGTGACATGGACATGTGTGTGCGTGCATGCATGTGTGCGTGGGTGCGCGCGTGCTAACCTCATATTCAACTCAGAGGAAAGAAAGTTTGGCTTTAGTCTTCATTCTTGTTTGCTCCTCTCCTTTGGAGAAAACATGCCTCACTCTCCATTAGCCTCAGAGCCCTCCGCTGTAACATGTTGATGAGGGCAGTTCTAGCCATCTAAGGACGGAATGAGGGGGTAAGTGTAAAGTGCCTAGCACATAGTAAGTGCTGGAAAACAAAAACACAAAACCACTAGCTTCTTGTTTCTCTTCTCATATTTCACAACTGCGAACCGCTGTGGAGGGTTCAAAGACCCTCCATATCCCTGGAATATATTTCTTCTCGCTTGCATGGTAACCCTGATGAGAAAGATTGTGTAAATTTATTTATGTCTGACAAGACACTAGTCAGGAGTATTTGAAGTCAACAATGTATATATCGAAGTATAAACAAATCAATATTTTAATTAACCACAATTTTAGTCTCCCCCACTTTCTCAGAGCAAAAGGGAATCCCCTAGATATCAAGCTTATAGTAGTGACTTAAAAATTCTTTGAGGATGTATACAGGAGTCTGCATTCATTTGACGAAGTCCCCTACTTGTGTGTTCACAACCAAGGCTCAGCACTTTGTGTTTGTCCCTGCCCCTCTTTGTGACCAAAGACTGACTCTAAGTACCTCTGTATATCCATAGTATTTAATGCACAGTACCTTGCATATAGCACTCCTGTAGTAAAAGTTGATTGAATAAGTGGAAAATTTAATTTCTTTGACTTCTTTGTTTTAAAATTATTTATCATTGTTGCTTTTAAAGGGAGAATATGGACTAAAATTTTGAAAGCAGAAGAATGTTATGGCTTTCAGTTAAAAAATAAAATTAATAAAACTAATTAGAGAAATAGCCACAATACCTATCACCACGTAAGCATTGATTGCATTTACTGCATACAAGGCCCTGTGCTAGGCATTTTGTATTTCTTGTTACTTTATTTTCCTAAGAACTCTCCAAGATGATGGCAGAGCTGGGATTTGAACCCAGGACTGTCTGGCTGCAAAGGCCTGGCCCTTGAATCAGTTTTTCTGTGCAGGTGGGGGCTTCTCTGCAAGACACCAAGTTTAAACCACTCTGAAACTCCCTGGAACACCAGGGGACCTTGGATGAACAGGGTTCCACCCTAAAACCTATTTATGTTTGTGGGGGAGGGGAGTCCATTTATTAAGAGTTCCTTGTCTCTCCCT